GTTTGTGTACACACTGATGAAGAAACCTTATCGTGAAGAAACAAAACCAGCACAAGCAGAAAAGTTTTTTTGAAAAAAAAGTTTAAAAAATAATATTTAAAAAAAAAATTTTTTTTTTCTGTAATAAAGATAAAATTTCGAAAAAAGGAAAGAGAACAAAATTTGTTTTTTGCTGTCACAAAAATTTTTTAACTCAATATGAAATTTTTTTCTTAAATTTCTCAAGAAAATTTATTATAAAATCAATTGGAGCATGTAATATAATTTTTTAAATGGAAATTTTTGTAAGAATTTAGAACTATTTATGTAGAGCCATATTTGATATATTTGTTAAAATATTTTTCAATATGACAATACATGGGAAATTTTTTTGAGATTCCTGTAGCTCTACAGTCTTCCTACGTCAAGAAAAAATTATTTCCTTGTTTTGTTGAATATTCGTATAAAATGCAAATAAACGTACAATATATATAAACGTGGGCACAGTGAAACTTTGATAATTCGAACAACTCTATACATCTCAAAAATACATTTAGTTCGAAATAAAAGGAATTGCATACGTTTAAGATATACATAATCAAAATATTTGAGAATAATAAGTAAATGGTAAGGAACCACATAAATGCTCTATGAAATTATATGGAGAATGTCGACAATTTGTTAACCCTTGAACACATTTTACTGTTTACTTCCATAAAATGAAATTTGAAGTTGCAAATTTTTACCGATTTTCGATAAGAACACTGATACTTTTAAGTAACATGTAACAGAATATTATTCTGAAAAATTTACGCTATACAAGAACTTATGGATATAAGCAAAATATTACTAACTGCTTTATATAGCTTTGCTTATGCCAGGTAATGCCCGGCTTCAATGTAAAGTATGTGTATTATCTTCTGCTTCAATTGGTTCAAAAAATTCTTTTTTTAATTCAATAAGGAATTTCTTGTTTTGCCTATAAATCAATTTAGTTACCAGTTTCGGTATTGAATGAAGTTTTTCAAAGATTTTGTAAATTTAGCAGCTATATTGTTATTAAGACTCTTTTTGTAAATTTTTTCAGATTCAATTGTACTTAATTAAACCGAAAAAATTTAATTTTTAATTTTCAATTCGATTAAGTGACCTTATACCCATTCTACTAAAAATTTAATAAATATTTTATTACTTATTCCTTTTTTTTTTTTTGTTTTACAATTTTTTTTCGGGGATTTGATAAATTTATGCTGGTCCTGGATATAGTATATGCGGATTTGAAATTCTTTTAGTTTGAGTTTTGATGAAAATAAACATGAAATAATTTTTTTTTTTCCTTCAATTAATTATTCATAAAAATTCAATATTTAAAATTATCCTTTTTCCTTCAAACTCATTACAAGAGTTTACAATTTTTCTTAGTTTATTTTGATTTTTTGGTTTTCTTTCTTTTATTGCTGTTAATTAAATTTTAAATAATTATGTACGAAATAATTGACATGTTAATTTTTTTAAAAGCTATACAAAATGATAAATTAAGGTATAAAATGTCAAGATTGTTTTAAATATAAAATTTTCGGAATTTATTCATTTTGAAATATCGAGATTTTAATGAGAGATTTATTCATTATTATTTAATAAAATGAGTGTGAGTAAAAATTATTTTGTTTAATGATTGGTATAGGTAGGTAGTTTGTAAGAGGAGATCAAATGGCGAGTATGGAATTCTTCTTCAGGCAAAATAAATTGAAAATCATAATAATAAACTGAAAAACAATCTGAACTAGAAGTTTATTATAAAGTCAGAATTTTTAATAACAATAATGTGTAAGTACAGTTGTTATACACTAGACTTACTCTTAGAATTCCGAAAGTGTAAAAATCTTATTACCTTAAAAGAGCAATTTAAGTTTTTGAAACAAAGATTGTAATTGTAGTTTAAATCACTTAAAATTTATATTTTATTTTTGCATTAAAACGGATATTTGTATTGTGAATCCTTGTATTTCTATATATTTGACTATATTTTAGGAATTAAAATGCAATTTTTTTTTTTGTTTACATTGCATCATTATAATAAAATTTTCGCTCATTAAATAGGAACACAAGCCATTAAGAATGAAAAATGAATTAAAATTTAGTTCCACTAAATAAATTTTCAATGTACAAGGATATAATTTTTATATTTATGATTTTTGTATAGTTTATTCAATATATTAAATGGTAGTATAATAGTTTGTTTAACTGTTATAAATTTTTGTAAAATAAAGTTTTAATGTATATTATAGTGTATATAGAAGAGACATTAGTATTATAGTTAGAACTATTATTTTAACATTTTTTTCGTTTTATTTTAAGAATTTTATTGTTTTATAAAATTGAACAATATAACAATAAAGAGACAGTGCTTCAAACATTGAAAGCTGTATTGAAATTTTATTTGAAGAAAGGACTTTTTTAAAGTTAAGGAAAATTTATGAATTGAAGGACAAATAGAACTGACAACTGCTAGTGAAATTTGTAATGAATAAAATTTTTAAATGTACATAGGTCAAATCTTGAAATTTCATAAAAAATTAGGTAAAGCTCAAGTAAATATAATATAAGCCATTAATTTAATATAAGCCATAATAATATTAATCTCAAACCAATAGGACAGTTCGAATTGCCATTTTTAAAATTTATAACAAAATTATTCAATTTTATTTTAGCAACACATCATAAATATTCGGCATTTATTTGGCTCCAATTTTGCATATTAATTTATTGAATGAAAATTTAAGTGATTTTCGAACAACTGCAGTGGATAAGAGATTCGAACAGATTGAAGTGGTTTCACATTCGGATTGTTTGAAATTTTAAATTTAAATTAAAATTAGGCGATATCAGAACCAAAAAATCAAACAGTTTCTATAAAACCGTTCAAATTAATATTTAATACTTAAAGTACAGACAGAATATTTCGGAGTATAAGTATAACAATTTTAGATTATAAAATTTTATTTTATGTGTATATAGAATTTTCGGTATGTTCAAACTATTTCTGTACACACAGATGTCTCCAACAAGTATAAAATATGAAAATTAAATTATAATTACAATTTGTGTGTATGGTTGACATTTTTGATAATTAACTTAATTATATTATTATTAAGCATTAACATACTTTCAAAATTTATTCAATATTTCACATATGCGGGACAACGTGCATATGTATGTGTGTTTGCATATAAAAATTTAGGAATACACGATTAAAAAAAATTAAATAATTTTTAATTTTTAAAAAAATTTATAAAACAAAAAAAAAAAAAACAAGAAACTCAAATGTTTTTGTTTTTACGGAAAATCGATTTTTAATTATGTATAAATTTAGTAGACAATCGTTGTTATACTACCACAGTTATGAGTCATTCAGTATGAAATTGGGACAAGGTAATTTTATTAAAATTGTGGGTTTTTATGTTGAAATGAACAAATAAACAAAAAAAAAATTTATTGCAATTTATCTGAAAAAATGTGATCGAATAATTATTTTTAATGCAACGAAAATTATTTTTATAAAATTCCAAATTTTTTTTATAAATTATTCGAAATTAACCCTATTTTATTTGTGTGAGTGAGAAATATTTCTGTATAAATTAAAGTTGAACGTTTTTAGAGAATTTACGTTTACTGGGAATAATTATTACAGTAAACTATATTTTTGAATTTTTAAGATTTCTTTACTTTTAATTAAAATTGTAAATCAAAGTTTATAAATAAAATATTGTACATATCGTAAATGTAATATCGTATATGAAATTTACGATATGTACATATCGTAAATTTCATATCGTATCGGTTTATTTGGTTTAACCGAAATTTGTATTAAAATTTGATTTTAAAATGTTTGTGTATTTTATATGATGTAGAAAAAATGAAACGTCATGCAATTGTCATCAAACAAAATCCAAGAATAGCATTTTATTGTCCAAAACGTTTCTTGAATTAAAAATTCAAAACATTAAATTTTTTTTGTAGAAATTGATTTTGAAATTTAAATTTTGTGTTTCGTAAGTTTTCCTTATTATGACAATTTGATATAAGTCTTGTCTTTTACACTTTACTTTTTTTTTAATCAACAACAAATCATGTATCAATCTATACTAGACGCCATCTTTATTTAAAAATTTTAAATCTCATTAGAAGAGAAAATTATACTCTATAAGTACATACTTGAAAATTTCAAAAATACAAAAAATGTAGTTATACTCATTTCGCTTTTATCAGTTTGAAAATTTTTTACATTCAAACTTATTTTTAGTATAAAAACTTATAAATATTAAAATTATAATAATCAAATATTTTTGTATTCTATTTTTAACAACTTTCTAACAACTAATTTAATTTATCCAATTTTAATTCATGTAAATTAATCTATTAAAATTAAATTATAAAACTGAACAAGCAAAAAAAAAATTAAAATATTCAAAAAAAAATTTTTTATTCTTTTGTAGCTAAAAAGCAGAAAATTGTTGAATTAAAAACTTAATAAGTCAAAATAAATACCTTTTATTAGAATATTTTAGAATAAATGCACATACATACATACACACTCGTATGTATTTAAATAATCCATATTGATATCAAAATATTTAAAAAAAATTTAGTGAAAATAATCATATATTTTATAAATAAAAAAAAAAATTTTTAAAATTAAAATTAATTAGAAAAAAAATAATAGAATGTCAATAGTGAATTTAAAAATTTTAAAATAATTAAAAAAAATTAAAATAAATATTAAAAATATTCAAAAGAAAAAAAAAATTAAATAAATAAATTCAAAGTTTTTTGGAAATTGGAAATTGCAAATAGAATTTTCTATATAGAAGAGAAAATCATTAAATATTTACAAAAAAAAAAAGGAAAAGGAAATTCAGTCTCCTGCTGGCAGTTTTCTATTTGCGAGAATAGGAAAATTAAAAAGAATCTAAGAATTCAATTACTTATTCATTTTTTTTTTTGAATTTATAAATGAAAGTTTTACAAATAAAATTAAAAAATCAAATTATTAATGAGAAATTTTGCAGTTTTCAAATAAAATAGCAAATAAAAAGCTAAAAATAAAAAAACAAAAAAAAAAGGCAATTAATTATTTTCCAACTTGAATTTTTATTAAAATATTCACAATTTCCGGCCACAAAGTGAAATCTAATACGGGTTCTAGGAGCCTGTACCACAGCAAAAGCAAGGATTCAGAGTTAGGTTTGTATAATGGTTTCTAAATGGTTTTTGTTTTATTTATAAGAATTTAAATAAGAGTTAGAAGAATTCTTGGTAATTCAATTGATAGTCTTCCTGGGACCCCGTCCGTCCAACTAAAAAAAATATTTAAAAAGATTATTTCTTTATTTCTTTTTTGAAAAGAATTTTTTCCAATTTGCTACTTATCTGTTTTCAAACTAAATCTGGAACTGCTCATATGTGATGGAATATAATTTTTGCATGTCTTGTTATTTATTTTCATATTGAAAAAGTTCCGTGTAGAAAGTGGGTAATAGAACGAACCCAATTTCAATTTACCCCCTGAAGCTGCAAATATAGAACATTTTTGTAATATTATAGAAGAAATACCTTTTCATAATGGCGTACGTTTGTAGCTTCCCGGCAAAGAATGGATAGCGCTAAGATTGAAACGCATTATTGAAACGGATAAACTCGAACATATTAGCAATTTTGGTGATTTTATATGACATATCCACAATTGCTGACTACCAAATTTAGTATCATTATATGTTTATTGATCTTAGTCTTACAAGTGTAAAAAGGTCTCTTGCTTTAAAAATATCATGAAAGCATCAAAACTTTGCTCTATTTTTCAAGAGCACGTGTATGATGAAATTTATTTTGTTCTCTTTATAAATTGTTTCTCAACCATTTTATCTCAATTTCCAGTATTCCGGTATTTTTGGGCGAATTTTTCTCAAATTCTCGAATATTCAATAACATTTTGTTAGCGATTTGTACTGCTCTCTTAAGTTCAATTTCAGTTTAACTTATTAATTTTCACATAACATTCAAGAATGCAACAAAAAAAAATATAAAATTGAATACAATTGATTACATATAGTTTTAGTATAAGTACATGACTGTCATAACAATTATTATTGGATTGATATTGAAATTTGTTTCTACCATTTGTTGTGTTGTAAATGTTTGAAACAAATATGCAATAACTACAAAATGCAAATGATGCATTTACAAAATTTTTATTTTAATAATTTATTTCCTCTTTTACAATTTTCATGTTAAAATTTAAAATTAAATCTCTTAAATAAATCGTGACTCAAAAGAAGAAAATTTTCATCATATTTAATGCTTTTAACTGCAGCAATATTGCGTCAATATTAGTTTTTCTTTTCTATTTTTTCTATAACTATTAAGTAGCAAAAACATGAATGTCCTTTTTGGTTCATTGATAATATTAAATTCGATTATAAAAATTTCTTATTAAGATTTTACCTTTTCTTGTAAGATTTTCTTTTCATTTTTCCCATTTAAGTACTATATTGCATATTTTTTTCTTGAAAAATAAAGTGCACATCTGGTGAAGAAAATATTATGTTGGAATAGCTTAATTTATGTACATATGTATTTAGATGTATGTGTATATGCAGCATGTACTTGGAAATGTTTTTTAAGGTCTTAGTATATTGAAAATTGCAAATGGTATTGAGAAATATTGTTATGTGGTTTGCAAGTTTAAAAATTCAACAATTCCTTCTACTTTATAGTAAACTTTATATTCCTCATTGTTACTATGGGGTGAGATGAAGATATTGTTAAATTTTCAACATTGTAAATTTAATGCTGGAATAATTAGTGATGTAAAGAAAATATTAGTTAAAATAAAATGTTTTTTCATATTATTTAATATTATGTTATATAATATATGGATATGCCAGCTAAATTACAGCTGAATATTTAGTTAAAATCTAAACAGCTTCGAAAATCTTAGAAAACTTTTGAATGCTATCTTCACTTTGCTACTTTGCGCTTTATTAAAATTTCAATTAAAGAATAACAAAGTTTATTTCTTCAAAAGCATTAAGGACTTCCATAAAAATACTCACAAAAACCACAAAATATGAAAGCTATATATGTAAAGACACAAAATATGAAAGCCACATAAAAACAATCCTCATAGTGCGGGAAATGCAGATCAATTTGATACAGGAAAAATTCATTCAAATAAATGGAAGCCGAATAGAAACGAATAAATAAACAAAAAATTTAATGAAATGTTGTTGGGTTCAGATTTAAAAAATTTCAAAAATCTGGATTTAATTGGATAAAACTCGAATTATTGTAAGGGAATCTCATAGAATATTAATAAATTGTAATAAAAATAAATAAATTCTTCTTTTAATTTGTGTTTGTAACCAAGTGGGTGTATAAATTAAGTTTTAATCAATGAAAAATTGCACATTTTGTATGGGAAATTGGATAATGAATTTGTAGGAATAGAATGTAGAAGAAATAAGTATTTAATTCCTAGAAACGTCTTTAACTTCCTGGAAAATTCATTTACCTTACATTGCAACCAAGCAGATGATATATGAAAAATTTCATAGGAGTGTAAATTTTATGCCCTATATTTGTTGAATCAATTATTTTTAATTAATTATTGTTCTGCTTTAATAATATTAAATTTAACAGCATCCCTTTTTTAAATAATTATAATGAAAACCCTAAAGAGGCTCAAAAAAATTCTTATAATTTTGTTTTTCTTGTTTTAAGAAATTCAACAGAATTTTTTGATTAAAATAAATTCTTATATCAATACTTTCACGCCTATACAGTTATTAATTAATTATAATTAAACCGCGAGTATAGAAGGAATTTCACTTTACTCTTTCAAATTTCTAATATGATTGGACACCGGGCTTTATTAGACCGTAAAATATTTGAACACATTTTTATATTAAAAAACTTAACGTCGATGAATATCGCAGGGATAAGAATTTTTTTTATAAATAAAATTTTTTTAAACAAAAAGGATCAATATTTAAAAAATTCAATAATTTCAAAATTAATAATTAAATTGCTTAAAAAAAAAATAATGGGGGAAAATGGAAGTGTAGTGTATATAGAAAAATAAAATGGGTTACAGAATTTGTGTGCAAAACGGTTGTTAAAATTCGATAAAAATGTCATTTTTCATTAATGTCGGAATAAAAAGCAAAAAAAAAAAAATGGAAGCATTTAGTGAAAGTAGCGATGAAAAATTAATTTAAAATCTTTTTTTTTTGAAAAATATCAAAATTGATGTGAATGGTACGAAAAGGGTTAGACAAACGTTGTAATGAGACTGATTGAAAGCTTATACAAAAATTGTTAAATAAAAAAATTATTTTGTGCAATAATGTCAATTAATAATTCTAATTCAATTCATAAAATAAAAGAAAAATTTTTGTACAATAAAAATTACAAAATTAAATAATTAATCGATTGAAAGTGATTTTCTGTGATTTCTAGTACATTGAAATATTTAAGAAATGTGTAAATAATAAAAAAAACGTCTACCCTTAATCAAAATTTATGACACATTGAAATTGTTGGCATATTTTCATTTTGATATTTTAAATCGTTCTTCTGTTGATTTCCAGATTTTTCAAAATAATTTCTAGGGTTTTATACAGGAATTTGCTCCTTATAGTGCTGTATTACTATAAACCATCAGAAGCGCATCGGTTTGTAAGAGGTATAAAGGCTCCAGAAAGCAAACATTTTTTTTAGATTGATTTTACTGAGATTAGATTACAATTTGGGCTGTGTCAGATACAATGGTACTTTTAGGTATCCGCTAAAACAGTGATACCATAAGAGTACAACCAACTTCATAGATGTTTTAATTTAGATACCACAAACATTGAGGTTGAATTCGCTCTGAATTTGAAGTTTTAACAACAGCAGATCTGTAATGGCAGTAATGAAGTTTTTGTAAGTTGCTGCAAAAAGCATTCCGTTTTTCTTCTTAGAACTCCTTAAGATCAAATTAACAGCAACTTCTATTAAATTAACAGCATACAATTTTCTTTCTGCTTTTATATTCATAACCTATTAGTATAGAGAACTCAATTAGTAGGGAATATAATTCAAACTTTTTGACAACAGAGTTTTTATTAGCAGTTCTATTGTAGTATCATACACAAATATCACGTCGAATTTCTCTATACTAAAATTTTTCTAAAAATTAAGTTAACAAAAATTACAATAAAGTTATCAAAATTAGGATTTAAGAAGCAAAAAGGTTGTGTATTGCACTTTATTATAAAATAAAATAAATTATTTAATTTTATTATACTAAATGCAAAACAGTAAATAAAAAATTGCATATAAATTTAAATTTTCACTTAATTTAATAATAAAAAATAAAAATATTTTATTTGTAAATCCAGAGGAATAATGAAATTTTATTTTATCACTTTTTTTTAACTCGAAATTTATTCAAAAAATATTCAAATTTCACACGTACGAGCATCTGTTCATTACACTGTGTTTTATGCAAGGTGACGGTGACGGAACGTGATGTTGTTTTATGATCATATGATTTTTCTAATTCACAAAATATCAATCATATTTTTTTTTTTTTAAATCAGATTCAAATTATGAATTCATTCATTAAAAGTTGTTGTTTTCTTGTTTGCTATGATGGACAACATATTTAGAAATTGATTTTTTAATTGGATTTCAAAAGCTATAAATAAAAATAGTGAAAATTAATTTTGAATTCAGAAAGTTAAAAAAATAAAAGAGTTAGAAATTTTATAGATTGATAATTTCACTATAATGAAATAAAATTTGCAGTGACTTTTTTTTTTTGGTTTTTCAAAATTAAATGTGCATAAAAAAATTTCCAAATGTTCCCATTATAAATCAATTTTTATTATAGGAAGTAAATATAGAAATTTTAATGATTTTTGTTTTTTTGTTTGTATGAATCTAATATTTATTGTGCCATCTAAAATTTGTGTAAAAACTTTAAATCTAATATTGTGGAGATGGAAAAAAATTTTCTTCAAACGAAATAAAGCATTTATTAGTGTCCAAAAGCCCCTAAAATTTCAGGATTCTACAGGCTGGGGTCTAGAAGAAAAACGACATCAAACATTTGGAAAAAACGGACTTAAGATAACGGTAAATTTGAACGGCCATTTTGTTTTTCTAAAGTTTAACTATAGTATACCGCACTAAGGGAAGCA